TTCGGATTCTTCTCCAGTCTCACCGTCTGCGTCGCTAGCGTTGTGACTGCGGGGGATGTTGAGTAACGTGATTGTATTAGGAAACATAAGTTATAAGTTAGACTAGAAAATATTCTGACTTGCCTTGTACTCCAAATAAATCATGTATTCACACACACACATATATATATATATATATGCGCCCACGAGGCTCAATCAATACAAGGACAATTCCACCGAAACCCTCTCTCCGTTCTCACAAACTTAAACCCCAACTAGGCGCCATCACCTATTTATTCACTCATGCAGAGCAACTTCCCTCGAACACAATGGAGATGATCTGCAGACCAACTCTGTCAGGCGCCGGCTATGAACGCGACGACGCGGTCCATGAGCTGCTTGGCGTTGTCGCACCCGGGCTTCTCGAGGAAGAACACGTGGCCCTCCCCATCGGACCCGTGCCAGGCCGCGGTGCCGCCCCACGCGCTGCCGGCCACGGCGTCGTGGTACGCGCGGTCGCGCGCGGCGAGCCCGTCCGCCAGCCCCGCGGTCACGAGCATCCTCACGCACCCGAGCCTCTCCAGCGCCGGCGCGCCCGGTGCCAGCGGGTTCATCCTCGGGTCGTCCGCGCCGCCCACCGCGCCCGGGCACGCGTAGGACCAGAGCATCCCGGTGACCATGGGCGCGGCCGGGTGCTCCCCCTCCACCGGCTTGCTCCCGCCGAACCACGGGTGCAGCAGTATCGCGCCCTCGACCCTCGGGCTGCCGTCGTTGGAGGTCGCCCTCATGAGCATGTCGTGCACGATGTTGGCCCCCGCGCTGTCGCCGGCGAGGAACAGGCGGGCCGTGTCGCCGTGCTCGCGGATCCACTCGTCCTGCGCCGACGCCGCCCACTGGAGCGCGGCCCAGGAGTCGTCGTAGGCCGCGGGGAGCGGGTGCTCCGGGGCCAGGCGGTAGTCGACGGACACCGCGAGGACGCCGGCCGCCGCGGCGAGGGCGTTGACGTAGTTGTGGTACGTGGAGGAGTCGGCCGACTCGATGAGGAAGGAGCCGCCGTGGAAGTAGACGAGGACCGGGAGCTTCGTGGAGGGTTCCTGGAGCTTGGGAAGGTAGAGGCGCACGGAGAGGCCGGAGTCCGCGTCGAGGACGACGTCCTTGGAGGTGACGCCGGTGGCCTCGTCGACTCCGGCGGGGAGGATGGGAGGCCGGTTAAGGCGCTCTATCCTGCCGCTCTTGTAGAAGCGGAAGTGCGCCGGTGCCTCGAACACCACCGTGTCGGCGTCGGCGTCCATGGCCGTGGCGAGTGGAGAAGGTGTTTGCCTTGAGGCTTGGCCTTGGTGTTGTGACTATCAGCATCGCGAGGTCTGTCAGATTTAAATGGCAATAAGGTGCCAAGTCGGCAGCGAGCTGAGGAGTGCGCATGGCCACACGTAATTTCTGGCCTGGATCCATTGCCATGAGAATGCAACGATCGGATAATGAATCAATCGAGACAGTTGATTGTACTGTATGATCCGACGGCAATGTATACTCACTATTTTTTTCCTCTTCAAAAAAGAAAAGAAAAATAGAACCGATATCAGCGACAAATTAACAATTGGCTCGTGTGTGAAACAATCCAATCTAATAATTGTTGAACATAAGAGATTAGAAAGCTTGAACGTTTTACAGTGCAATCACAAATGCTTATATACACGCACATACACTCATTCTTGTGTTGACGGGAAGTGTGAAGTTTAGAACTTGACCGTAGTGGACTGGTTTCATCGCAAGAAACACAATCATACCCTTGGAGCATCTACAGCCGGACATGGCAAATCCGGCCCCTCAAACGCCCGCGGACGCGCCCGGGCGCGTCCGCCGACACTGACCAGACACTTCCCAAATCGCGTTGTCCACATCCGTGCCTCTCATATCCGAGTCCTATATCCATACTAAATCATGCAATGTCGATCAAACTACGTAGACCAGCTGACCGGACATAGAATCCGACATAGGATAGCACAATAGTTCACCAAAAGATCCACCAAAGTTCACATAAACAACATACAACTTTATATTACATCTAAAACTTGAAATGAAATTGAACTTCACCACTT